GTGTCCAATCATAGTTCAAGGCAGGGTCAGGAAGAAGAGGCCTCGGATCCTCTCGCGCGAGGAGCGCCGTAATGAAGCGAAATGGATTGGGGCCCCCGATCGGCTCGTGAGAGTGCGTGTATACGCACTCGCCGACTCACACGCGCGTTCCTCCCGGAGCGGCGCGGCGTAAACGTACGCGCCGATATGAATTTGGCGAACGACGATAAATAATGATGATCGATGGCCGTTGAGAATTTCGTATTGTGCGAGTAAAGATCGCGATTACCTCGCAAATTAGGCGTAGCCGGGCTTACGGTTCCCGGGACTTATTAACATATGATAATCCGTTCCGCGCGCGGATCGTTTCGCAGGATCAGCGACCTATCGGCGCGAGTGGGATAATAATCTACGAGCTTATATCTATACGGTCAACTACGTAACAACCGTTTCTACAGGCGTTACGAAAGAAATTGTTATCTCGCAAGGTATCTCGGATTAGTCTATTACGTCAGAACTGTTCTCCGATCGTCACTTTTACACGTGCTTCAATATGATTGCGATAATAGATTTCCTTGTAATCATCGAGCTGGCGAGCTTCCCCGAGCGTGACTCATCCCCGCTCTTTCACGTGTGATTGTTCTCGCCCGAGCGAACACAAATTCAAGACACGCCATTCTCAAGTTTTCGTCAAATCCGGATGAGCGCGCTCGACAATCCTGCACCTGCCCGTCTTAAACGTTCGTGCGCGCTCATTTTCGGACAATCTGACGATTAATAGGTCCTCGAGAGAAGAAAACTTTTGAAAGACGCCGCTGGTATTCATAAAACGCGAAGGATTTTACCCGTAATATCCATAATTCAAAAATGATGATTGTAAAATGACTTTCCATTAAGATACGAACGACTAGCTGACGTACAAACTTATTATCTGACAGTTTGATAAATGTTGAGATGCGTGTTTGTGTTGATGACTCCCCAAGACCGATTCAGGTAAACCGCTTGCTGTCATAACTTTTCCGTAGCGGCGCGGCGCGCGGCGTGCCGTTTTTCCAAGGAATCGGCACCTGTCTTCCGGAATGCGTCTGCGGTTTCTCGCCCGAACGATCGAACGGGGAGCCCGCGAGAGGGAAGGAAGCTCTCTCTCTGAAAAGTGCTCGAACCGGTAATATGTACACAGGATTTGGCTTTTTCCCGGTCTTCCTTTCTCGGCTCCTCGACGGCGGTAAGGTCGACGGCAACCAATATTTGCGAAGCACTTTCATTTTCGTGATGCGTTGCTCGAGACATACGTATACACATTTCTGGTCAGCTTTGCACACTACCGCTTTACCCACTACCTTACATCCATTTAATACCTCCATTGTGCCGTGCTCTCATGTGAGGCTGCTTTGCACACGGTACGGAAAAAGACACGGTCCGAGGAGAGCGAGAACCTGAACGGGAGAAAGAAAGAAAGAAAGAGATACGAATGAAGAAGAGTGAGTGCACGGGTAAGATGTGTAACAAACGGATCGCGGGTCAACGATCAAGGACCGGGCCGGGTTTGTTTGAGGACGATTTAAAGATCTCCCTGCGCGAAGCGTGACTCGACTTTATTAAAGCCGTCCCTAAAGCTTGCTCTTTTTTATTTACTTCGCTTTGCTTCCCTTTATTAGTTTCTTTTTCGTCGTCATTTAGAAAATACATTGCACATCGTGTCCCCTGTCTTTCATGTAGACTTAACTTCGAACGAATTCAAAGTACCTACACACATTTGAGATAACATCAGTTCGTAATTTTTCACGTTTGAAGAATGTTAACGACATACAGGGAGAGAATACATAAAGTAGATTCAAATGATAGATCGAAGCTTTACGGGCATACGCATAAACGCGCCTGTTTAATCGTCCGTGACAGGGGAGAAAAATCAACGCTTCAAATAATCGTTCGCCACGTCCGTTTTGTTTCTATTCCTCGAATTATCACGGTTTGCTGCTGCTATTATTTCGACTTCGCGAGCGAGAGCATGGCTATTATTAATCCAACTAGCAAGTAGCTTAATAGTAGTCATTTATTCAATTAACGAACGAATGTAAATCAGCCGGCGATTTAAGTATGCATAAAGGTAACTGCAATTTTCAAGGAAACTATTGCGTGAGAGTAATCCACGCGCTATCTAATCATTGTTAAACGTTTCCGCGATAAACCAATGAAATGTCATGTCGCCAGTATTGCATGTGCGTGCCGCTCTCGTTTGCTAAATCGCTGTCATTCGCGCCGGCGGAAAATTAATCTGAGGAACGCCGGCTTAACGAGGACCATCCCTTATCTCGGGTTTCGGCGATGACCGCGTTAATTATGAAACAAAAAGAACCGGGGCGGAGGGAGTGGAGGAAAGCGTAATGCAAAACAGGCTCACGGCCTCGTATTCCTATCGTGTGTATTAACGATTCGACGCTTTAGTGGGAGGACGGACGGCAACGTCCCGGCGCGGCGCCATGGGCCCCCGATAGAATTTGAAGCATTACATTAGTCCGACTAATGACCGACATGACTGTCCGTGGGCCGGTAGATACCGGTTCTTCGACATCTCCGAGAGGGAGCATGCCCCGGAGATCGTTGCACACGAGAGAGCAATACGGGGGGGGGGACGATGATCGCCTCTCCGCGTTGAGGGCGCCACGTACTCGAGTGCATCCGCGGATGCACGTTCGTATGCACGCGCGAACACGTCGTGAGTTCAGGTATCGAAGCACAATGGATCTAATTTTCCTATGGAAATTATCGATTTTTTAAAGGGAAAGAGAAATGCGAGCTCTGTTTAGAACGAGTTTCGAATTAGATCGGTCTATTTCTGCGTCCTGATCTTCAAATTCTTGAAAAAAAATCGCGAGAATTTACGTTACAATTTTAAACCAATGCAAAATTAGAAATAAATCGCGACATTTTAAAGGACGGATAAAACAGGAGATAAAATAACGATACAGAAAATTGTTCCAACATTTCTAAAATTTATTTCAATAAGCTTCTTCCCCTCAGTCAGCTGAGATATTTCATGCTACATGATACATAAACGATACAGGGATCTCTTTTCAAATGTTTGTCTAGCAGGAGATGACTTCAGATTTGTCAGAGAACCCTGCCTCCCTGATAATCCCACGTTTAGACTTAGCAGGGTTTACCAGGGTTTACCATTCCGGAGCGGCGTCTGTCTCTCGCACGGAAAACGGAACGAAAAGGAGGCGCGACGGAATTAGGAGGAGACGCGAGATCGTAACAGGAAACGCGAGCGAGCGCCGATCGTAAGTCAAGGGGAGCACTCTCGCTCTTAAAAGCCCGCGGAGCGTCGCGTCACATCGCGACACGTGCGCGCTAATTCATAGCTCGCGAGAGAAGAGCGAACCCGTGTCGCGCGTCCTTTCTCTCACGGCTTAATCGTCCCGATTATATTCCCGAGGCCGGAAATTTCGGACGGCGGTAACGAGGCTTAAGGGACGCCGATGTAATATCAGCGTGGCAGAAGCCGTCGTTGCCGAGATAGTCGTTGCCGTCGCGTCGCCGAAATTAAATTCCTGCTGAGTTTTACGCGAGCCCGTCGACCGCCGCCGCGCCGGGGCGGGATTCATCACGGTGGTTGCTTTTCTTAATGAGTGTCAAAACTGCCCTCTCTCTCTCGCCTCCTTCCCCCCCGGGGGATCGTCGGTCGGAGCGACGTTTGAGCTCCCGTCGGAGAGCCGAAATAGCGGCTGGCGTTGGTGCTTGTTTGATCTGCTTTGTGTCAGTCGCGTGTCCGGATGAACCGATGAAGCAATAAGCCGAAAAAAAATATTGAAACGAAACTCTTTGAGAGAAACCCGGATGAAAACCCCATGAAGTTTAACGTACGTATTATTCCATTCGGAAAGATCACAAAAAGGCGCCGGAATAGAGACAACCGAAACGTCATTCTCTACCTGCGAGGAAAAATGACACGTTCATACGAGTATACGTCATGTAAAACGCGTTTGTCCCTTTTATTTTTTGAAAGGATAACAAACATTATCCCAGTTTCAATGAAAACTTCAGTCTCACTGCAGATTTTTGAGATCACATTCCGCGTATCTGAAATCAAGCGCGACGCTCGTAAAATCGCACCTTCACTCCGGCGCGGCGCGGCGCGGCGCGGCTTCGAAGCGGAGTCAGAGATAAGTCTGAAATAAAGAATAAAAACTTCTATGTGTCACTGTGTAACCGCAACGTCTCGTCCGCACCGACCGCGGCGAGCCGGGCTCTCGCTTCTACGTGCCGGTGAGAGGGGGAGAGCGATTCTGCCGATTCTACCTTACGCCAACGTCTCGCGAGCGAGAACGAGAAGCGTAATGCCGGCGCGTATTCTCGCGGAGGATCGCGGAGCCGCGCGCGGCGCGAGTCGCGGGTCGCGGGGTGGCGCACGGGGCGACGCGCGAACTTCGGCCGGCTTCGGGCGGCTTCGCGCGCGTCCGCCGGCGCTCGGCGCGTCCCCACCCCGCGGCCGCCGTCAGCCGAGTCGGCCGACGCGAGACGAACGCTCGGCCGACAGACGCGTCCGCGACACCGAGCTGCGTGGTGACCGTTAACGCTCAGTCCGCCAAAACCGAGCCGGAGTCTCGCCGAGGGGGTATCATCCTCTCTCTCTCGGCCGTGTGCTCGCGCGTGCATATTCCAACTTCGACCTGCTCGGATCGCGGCCGGGTTCCCGCCGCGAGTCGCCGTATCGCGGATTCTCGAAATCTCTCGCGCGCGCGCGTGATTCGTAATTGGACGGATTTCTTTCCGCCGTCCCGGGGTTTCGTGGGAGAATAGTCGGGAGTGTGCGACTCTCGCGACTCTTCGGGAAGTGCGATTCCCGACTCCGCGCCAGTACGAGGATACTCGAGGAGTGTTTGCGTGGCATCCCCCCGAGGGGGATAATACA